GGGAGATGTTAGTGGGCATAATGTGTGGGTGAAGATGGTAATGAGCACAATAGTTGGGGGGATATGATAATGAGCACAATATTGTGGTTGGGGATATGGTAATTAGCAGTGTTCCAGGTGGAAGGATTTGAGAATAATTTGTTAAAACAGAAAATCATACAGAAGTACGGAAGCCGGAAGTAACTTTCCGGAGCAGGAAGTAAACTGTACGAACTCCGTAACATAAACTATGAAACAAGAAATTGGTAATACAAATTGAGGAGCATTCCGCGGACAAATATCAAGGAGTCCCCATCTATGGGTCCAGGCAGCGGCGTGGGTTGTTTACGGAAGTTATTTCCACTAGCCGGAAGTTGATTGTACGGAAGAAGGAAGTAGTGATACCTGCAGCGAGGTTGTCTGTACGGAACCAGGAAGCTTGTTGCTGGTGTACGGAAGCCTGGAGGGACGCAGTGACCAGTGACCAGGAGCCTGGGGAGGGTGACCTGTTTCAGCTGTCATGCGGTTGTTCCCGGGACTCCTGGTGGCCCATGGCCGAGTGGCCCGGCGGATGGGCTTGGGGCCCCGCTCCCGGCTAGATATGCTGCGTAACCTCCTCACCGCTTTGGTCAGACATGAGAGAATAGAGACCACGTGGGCCCGTGCGGATGAGCTGAACTTCTATGCCAACAAGGTGACCACCGATTATATGTGGGGGGAGGGGAGAGGACCTGTCATAGGCAATACTGGGACAAGGTCAACCTGTGCCCGGGGTGCAAATGCCGAAATATGGGAACCACTTCTTATAATGGTAATCTTTGGGAGGAGAACCCCTTCTTATAACGGCGATCGTTGGGAGGAAAACCCCTTCTTATAACGGTGATCGTTGGGAGGAGAACCCCTTCTTATAACGGTTGTCCTTGGGAGGAGAACCCCTTCTTATAACGGTGGTCCTTGGGAGGAGAACCCCTTCTTATAACGGTGATCGTTGGGAGGAGACCCCCTTCTTATAACGGTGGTTGTTGGGAAGAGACCCCCTTATAACGGGGGTCGTTGGGAGGAGAACCCCTTCTTATAATGGTGATCGTTGGGAGGAGACCCCCTTCTTATAACGGTGGTTGTTGGGAGGAGAACCCCTTCTTATAACGGTGGTTGTTGGGAGGAGAACCCCTTCTTATAACGGTGGTTGTTGGGAGGAGAACCCCTTCTTATAACGGTGGTTGTTGGGAGGAGAACCCCTTCTTATAACGGTGGTTGTTGGGAGGAGAACCCCTTCTTATAACGGTGGTCGTTGGGAGGAGAACCCCTTCTTATAACGGTGGTCCTTGGGAGGAGAACCCCTTCTTATAACGGTGGTCCTTGGGAGGAGAACCCCTTCTTATAACGGTGGTCCTTGGGAGGAGAGCCCCTTATAATGGTGATCTTTGGGAGGAGAACCCCTTCTTATAACGGTGGTCTTTGGGAGGAGAACCCCTTCTTATAATGGGAGGCGAACCCCCTTCATATTTTGGTGCAGAGCTCTCTTGCAGACAACTAAAAATATAATGGGGGTCAGCGGTAACGTTCCTGAGCGTAGAGTCTGTTCTGCTCCCACACCTCTGGCTGAGTGACTTGCTCATTGCTCGAGGAACCTCTAGAGCTGGGGTGAGCAACCTCGGCACTCCAGCTGTTGTGGAACTACAAATCCCATGGGGCATTGCAACACCCTGACAGCCACAGGCATAGTGGGATATGTAGTTTCAGCACAGCTGGAGTGCCGAGGTTGCCTACGCCTGGTTGAGGATGGTCGCCCTGTCCCGACTGTTCCGCAAACACGTCAAATAATGTTATTTCTGTTTGTTTGTCTTTCAGATGATTGATTATGGAAAGTGCGGCGATACCAACGAGAAGGCGATGAAGATGGCCGACTTCTGGCTGACGGTATTTCATATTCTGTCCGTTTGTTGGTTTAAAGGGTCACTCTGCTTAGAGCTTTTCTCCTGCAGGGTCTCTGCTTTCTGAAGATGTTTTGGGGGTTTAAAATAATCTTCAGGCCTAAAATGTTCATTTATAACGAGCACAACAACAACAAAAAAAGGGAAAAATGGCTCCGGCAGCAAAGCGGGTAATTGTAGCAATGTGATTGATTGATTTTGGTAGATAAATTCTTTTTCTCTTCCAGGAAAAGGACCTCATTCATAAACTGTTCAAGGTTCTGGTTCCTCGATTCACCTCGCACAGCGGCAACTACACGTCTATGTACCAGATCCCAAACCGAGAGAACCTGGACCGCGCCAAAATGGCCGTCATAGAGTACAAAGGAAACCCATTCCCACCTTTACCTGCTCATAAGAGGAACAATGAGAAAACCCTAATAAACCAGCTTCTGGTGGGCTACCGGCTAGAGGACAGCCTGGGGGGGTCACCCCCCTAATCCGCCTTCCCTGTGAACTCTCCCGCGTTGTGCTGAAGATGAGAAATAAATACTTTATGGTAACCTTTTGTTATAAAATGAGGGAGTTCATTCCTTTGTCCCTCGCTCGTCACATACACACTATATTGCCATTAGTATTGGGACGCCTTTACACGCACATGAACTCTAATGGCCCCCCCCTCTTAGTCTGTAGGGTTCAGTATTGGGTTGGCTCCGCCCTCTAATGGCATCCCAGTTTTAAGGTGGCCATACACTGTACAACCAGCAGATCGCACTCTCGATCATCGCAAGCCACGCCCCCTGAGGGGCGGGCTTGCGATGACTGTAATGAGGGGGCGGGCTTACGCTGACTGCAAACGGGCAGTGTGCGCACACCGGCCCGTTCGGCAGTTGTCGAACCAGCAGGCCACCAACTCGCCGAGAATCGTACGATTCCCGGCGGGTTTTCAAACATGCTGGTTCGATGGAAGACGTGCGACCGTACAGTAGAAACGGTCGCACGCCTTCCATACACTGCACGATTCTCGTACGATCGCAGGATTTCCCGCCATTCTCGTACGAGAATCGTGCAGTGTATGGGCAACTTTAGCCGGTAGGGTTCAGTATTGGGTTGGCTCCGCCCTCTAATAGCCCCAGCCGACCACTTCCTGGCTGAGTTGCTGGTGTTCCCGGTAGCTTCCACTTTGTTATAATCCCAGTAACAGGCGACCGCGGCGGAATATTTAGTAGCCGGGAAATGTCAAGGACGGACTTATTGCGCAGGTGACAACCTATCACGGCACCACGCTTGTAGTCACTGAGCTCCTGAGAGCGACCCGTTCTCTCACCGATGTCTGTAGAAGCGTCTGCACGCCGAGGTGCCTCGTCCTATACACCGGGGGCCTTGGAGGACCTGAATCACATGATTGAGAGGGGGCGGGGCCAATACTTTTCCCATCAAATAAGACCGGTCTAGAAATGGATTGTACAAATAGTTTGTAAGAAATGAAAAGGTCACAAAGTCCCCCATAACATGCTGAAAGAACGTTTCCCAGGAGAAGAAACCCTTTTGGGGTGCAGCTCACCCTCAATTCGGGGCTAAATGGCGCCGTCCCTCCGGTTAATAGGGGGGGCGGGGAACCCACAAAGGCTTTCCAAATCTTTCACGTCCCTCCCCCGCTAGGGTAATATATGGCTGCAAATTGAGGTGACAACACCATTCAGAAGCTCCAATTCTGCGGATTTCCTGTCCTGGTCCATGAGTTCTCTTCCTCCTAAAAGCTCCTTTAAACGCCCCTCCCCCAATCGCCAGCTTACCCGCTGCAAGCCTGATTGCATCTTTCTGCTGGTTTGTGGAAACAATGACAGATCTCATGGAATAAGGAGTTAAAAAATGATTTATTATCTTTGCAGAAATACATAAAACATTTGTATACGCGGAACATCGGTCCTTCTTCTTATAGTCCTGTAGGGGGCAGTGAAGGGGCCCCATCTAGGGGCCGTCCAGGTCAGCGCAGGGGCCCAGGACCTGCGTGACGTCATCAGGAACCGTTCCATTACCACAGAAGGAGGATCTATGGGGGGGGGGAGACAAAAGAAGAAATGTGCTGTGATGGTTGAGGCCAAATCCAGACATCGCACACTATGCAGTTTGATTGGTCAGCCCCCCTTCATCCTGAGATGTCCGCTGCTCTTTATTGTGATGGGAATCCTCGTAACGTGGACCCGCACAGTGCGGCATGCTGAGTGTCACCGTGACCCTTCCAGGCATGTGTCACCTCTCTGATACTTCATTACGGCAAGTGGTCACAGAGTCCGAGGACCCAATGGACCCCTCACATCTACAGCCCCCTGGGAGGTATGGAC